TTAGGATTGTTGGAAAGTTACCAAGTTCGTTACGGTCACTAATTAATAAACCAAACCAAGTTCGTTACGGTCACTAGTTAATAAACCAAACCAAGTTCGTTACGTTCACTAGTTAATAAACCAAACCATGTTCGTTACGGTCACTAGTTGATAAACCAAACCAAGTTCGTTACGGTCACTGATTAATAAACCAAACCAAGTTCGTTTCGGTCACTAGCTAATAAACCAAACAAAGTTCGTTTCGGTCACTAGCTAATAAACCAAACCAAGTTCGTTACGGTCACTGATTAATAAACCAAACCAAGTTCGTTTCGGTCACTAGTTAATAAACCAAACCAAGTTCGTTACGGTCACTAGTTAATAAACCAAACCAAGTTCGTTACGGTCACTAGTTAATAAACCAAACCAAGTTCGTTACGTCCCAGCATGGCCAGGTGGTTAGGGCACTCGACTCGCATTCTGAGGGTCGCTGGTTAGAATCTTCGTCTCACGAACCATGCTCTCCCTTTATGCCGTGGGGTCGTTATAATGTCACTGTCAATCCCACTTTTTGTTGGTAAAAGAGTAGCTCTAGTCCTTTACTACTAAATTAGGATGGCTAGCGCAGATAGCCCTCGTGTAGCTTTGCGCGAAACTCAAAACAAACCATACCAGGTTCGTTAAGGTCACAAGTTAATAAACCAAACCAGGTTCGTTACGGTCACTAGTTAATAAACCAAACCAAGTTCGTTACGGTCACTAGTTAATAGGAAAGTTTTTTATGTTCAAAGTATTTTTTCCGATGAAAATCTTAATTCTCAGAAGGACAGATTCAGAAGGATTTATATGAGGTACACTGAGGTTATTCCGAGGAGTTCGTAACGAGTTGATGTTTTGTGAATATCAAAACGGTTATTTATTATAATAATTTTTGGTTTCCAATGTGCCCCAAATTTTATTTATTACTTCTAGTTTTCACCCCCCCCCCAAAGAAGTTAGATTAAAATTGTTGGTGTGCAGCACGTAACTACAAAATTACCTCAATTATCAGACGCTGGCAAATTAAAATGGAGAGGGGGAGGATACGTCTGTAAGCCTAAACAAACAGGGGATAATCAATAAAGTTATTATAACTATAATAATAACGAGTGATGATGAAAGTACTCCAAGTATATGGTAAAAGAGATAAATTTCCCTCTTGGCAGTAATTAATTTAATGGGCTTTCAAGTAATGGATGAGAGAATGGGATTTGGAGAAGGTAAACAAAAGAGACCTGGCAAGATTAATGTTATAAATCAGCCGGAGAGAGAGAGAAAAGATACAGAACTCGAGGTTACAGATGGCATGGAGAGCAGTAAGAAAAAGGATCAACTCCAAAGGAAACAGAAATGTGACAGATACGAAATTGAATTACAATTGATAAGAGTAGAAGCAAAGATCAATCCATATATATATACTAGTAAGTGGAAGTACGAGTTCTAATCATTTGAAAATAATACCGTAATGAAAGTAAAACATAAAGTGAAAATTGTTTAGGTATGTTTAGGAGTTTATGTGAAGTCTGAAATTTTCGAATCTAAACATTATGAAAGAATCGCGTGTCTAGCACGCTGCCACAGAAGTTCAGTGGCTGTAAAACAAATAAAGTTTCCATACTTCACTTTGCCCGATCAATCAATCAGGACCTATGTGAAAATTACACAACATGATATATTAAATGTGCGCCATCTATGGGGCATGTGGTTTGTCACTACTGATTTTTGTTTAAAATTTTCACACAAAACTATAAAAGGGGCTTTCTGCGCTATATCATCTCAAATTTTGAACTCGTAGACTAGAAAAGAGGACAGCTAGTAGACAACATCCGCCGCTAATTCTTGTCTGGCGGATAGTGGAATTTAATCGATATTCTTATAATTTAGAGTTCGGAGCGCGTTTTTGCGGCAAGGACTCTCAGATTCACGGTACGGGCACTATAGCCCTTAAGCCATGCCCGGTCCTTAACAATTAGTTACAGAGATAAAGAGTTAAATATAACTGTGATGATGCCAAGTTATAAAAAATAAACATGCTTGTTTTTATTTTTCCGTTATGAAAATTATGCCATTGTTATAAATAACGTATTTTCTCTCTATTATTGCTTTACAACTTAATTTTACGGTTAGAAAATAATGTTACAGATTTTTAAGACCCGCGGCCCCGAAAAGTGGGATATTTTATAAAAACTTTGGCCAAAAAAAAAATTAAATATATAATCTGAAAAGCGCATAAAGCGAAATAGTAATTATTAATAAACAGATTAGCTACATCAGTTGAACTGATTTCAACACAACATGGTAATTATTAATAAACAGATTAGCTACATTAGTTGAACTGATTTCAAACACAACATGGTAATTATTAATAAACAGATTAGCTACATTAGTTGAACTGATTTCAACACAACATGGTAATTATTAATAAACAGATTAGCTACATTAGTTGAACTGATTTCAACACAACATGGTAATTATTAATAAACAGATTAGCTACATTAGTTGAACTGATTT